ATCATCCAATCGGAATTATTCATATTGTAGAGAAATGAGAATGTATGAGTATGAGAGAGAGAGAGAAGAGATTAAGACAATTGTTGAATTGGTGGATGATAGGATTATTTATAGGAATTGAACATAATTTAATTTCCCAAAATATCCTAAAAACTAGCTGTTATTTAGTTATTGGGAGGGGTATTTTGGTCATTATAAAGTTATTTATAACTTTACCCAAAAAGCCCCATAAAATAGCTGTTATATAGTTGTTGGGTGGCATTTATGTAATTTTTTCTCCATACATAAGCAAAATACATAAATACCCCGCTTATATGGTTGTTTATAGCTATTGGGGGGGTATTTATGTAAAATCCTCCCAAAAAGCTGAAACTAGACATTGGGAGGGCGGGCAATGACTAGTTTTCAAACAGGTTGGGCCATGCCAACACGCTGGCCACAGGTGGCATGGCTCGAATAATCATGCTGTGTCGTGCCAGCCCGTAGACCTCGAACTTCTAACCCAACATGGCATGAACTAGATACAGCCCGTGGGCTATCATGCCATGTCGGGCCACGCCGGGGCCGACTTCGGTAGCTAGTCCTACCTAGCGGGGTTCGACGATTACAAATCTCTAATGCCGAAAGCTCTCCCAAACTTCGATGTCGAACAGTTGGATCCCTTTATTAAGGGACAAAATACGACCAAGATTGTTGAGACTTGAGATGACTTAGGTCGATGTATAAAATACAAATTAAATACCATTCATCATTTACCTTTGAGTGTTTTTATTTTCTTCTCTCCTCTTCTCCACTCTCTTCTTTTTCTCTTTCTTCTCTCATCCTCCTTTTCTCTCTCTCTCCCTCACTTCCATCTCTCTACAGTAGGTGTACATGGGAGGAGCCACAAGTAACCAATTAATCACGTTTGAGGTTGAGTGTGCTAGAGCTCCTAAGTTCCTCCACGAGCATGTAGCCCCAGCTGTCATCCACGAAAATTTCAAATCTAATTAACATTTTAACAAGGTTTTAAACATCGATCTGGAAACGGAACTGTTATAGCTACTGGTTTTCGGGTCAGCATGGTTCAACTGTTCGAGTCGAATGGTTCCAATAATTTGCATTAGGGCAAATAATTTTATACTATATGAGAAAGGAAAATTGGAAAAGAGAGTTAAGAGACTGTTGTTGGCTGAGAAAGAAAAAAAGAAGAAAAGAAAGAAAGGAAGGAGAAAGGAAAAAAGGAAAAAAGGAAAAGGAGAGAAAGGAAATGAAGGAAGAAAAGAGGAAAGGAGGAAGAGGGGAAGGGGGAAGAAAAAAGAAGAGGAGAATGATTCAACGCTCACCAATGACGATAATGGCGACGGTGACGGAAGTAACAAACACAAATGGCAGATCTGAGATTTGAAATATGAGTTATTGGATCTCAAATCTGAGATCAGTTTTTTATTTTTTCTCGGGTCCTTTTTTTCTCGGAACCCAGATTTGAGATCGATTTCTTTGCAACTTCTTCTTCTTCTTCTTCTTCTTCTTCTTCTCTCTCTCTCTCTCTCTCTCTCTCTCTTTGTGCTATATCTCAGATCTGAGTTCATGTCTCAGACTCAGACTCAGACTCTCAGTTTCTCCCCTCTCTGCAATTTTCTTAAACCGTGAACCACTGTCCAGGTCAAACGAGTTGATGGTTCGATCGACTAGGTCAGCAGTCAAGGGTGAAACGAAGTCAACGATTTTTTACCCAAAAACGGGTTAAGAGTGAAACGAAACCGGTTGCTTGGACGGTTTCTGTGCCAAATAGTCCAATCGTCCGGGTTAACGAAGATTCAAAAGTATCGCATTTTAATACTACATCATAACTTCAAGGCCAAGGTTTATTTTGGGTTGGCCAGGATAGGTCCAAATAAGATGAATGGTCTAATTATGACAAACCTACAACAAATGAATCATAACCATACTTTAGTATGATGTGAACGAGATAGTCGGAATTGACAACATTTTAGAGTTGTTTCTAATGAGGGGTGATTTGTCCCAACCTGATAAGTAGAGGACACGTGGACGCGACTTGCCAACTAGATGATGACTCAGCGCCTCCGGCCACTTCGACGGATTGGACCACCTCAGGTGTCCCAGTCACCTTGGATAGCGCTGAAGTCTGGGTACCTTGGATGACCAAATCTGACGAAGCGACACATAGCAGATTTTAGAAGCCCGCCAGCTGTCTCCGAGCCTGTTGGGATCATACTATGCAACTGTAGGACTCATCCTCATCCCGCCTAAATTGGATGGACACGATGAGCCTTATCAGCCAACATATTATCCGCCTCCTGGAGCAGAATAGACTCCTACTACTTGAGCTGAAGATCTCGGAAAGGTTTCGTGAAGCTTACAACGGTTCAGCTATATGAGGCGTCAACCCCTTTGGACCCAGGTACATGCAATTAAGTGCATTCTAGCTCTCAAGTTTATTGATTCTAGCTTGCAATTCAGTACTGACTTAAGCATCGGAGCGACCCCGTTGGGTTAGCCACCCCAGTTTCTCTGATCCATCTCTCTTGCAATCCAACCGATCCACTTTGCTATCAACGTCTGAGCTGCCTTCCAGGTAGGAGCATCCAGATCGCGCACTTTCAATTTCCAATGACCAAGCAGTTCAATGTCATCATTGAGAGTCTTCTCAATCACTGGATGCACCTCACTTATCGCTTGTTTGAAGGTTGAAGGCGAGGAATATTACTTCGTATCTTATATATATTTATTAATAGGAAATGGATGCTCTCTGTTATTTATTACTTCGTATCTTATATATATTACTTCGTATCATAAATTTATAATTAGTGATTATAATTAATAATTACTGTTATTATAAATATTATTAATAACTAGTTATTTACTTTAATTTTACTTTAAATTAAAATTATAAATATTGTTATTAAAAAATACTGTTAATAAGTTTAGTAACCCGGTTTTAATAATTACTAATTATTACAGTAATTTAATGAATATATAATTAGTTATTATAAGTAATAATTACTGTTATTATAAATATTATTAATAAATAGATATTACTTTAATTTTACTTTAAATTAAAATTATAGATACTATTATTAATAAATATTGTTAATATATTTAGTAATTATTGTTATATTAAAAATAATTAAAAATGTTATTAAAAGTATTGTTATTGATTATTTAATAAAGTATTATAATTACTGATTATTATTGATAAATACAATTAATTTAATTTAATTTAATTTTGTTAATAACTCCTATTCATAAATTTAATAGTTACTTTTATATTAAAAATAACTAAATCATATTATTCAAACTATCATTAATGATTATTTAATTAAATAGTATAAATACTTACTATTATTGATATCTGTTATTAATAACGTTTTGACAATCGATGGTTCGACCTTTCGATTCTAACGGATGGCCCATTCTGACAACAAAATTACAAGCAAAAAATTACGGAACTGTTCTGACCATCGGTTTTCGGGTCGACAGTTCGATCATCCGGTTTGAACAGTCAGTCAGTTCTAACAACAAAAATTATAAGCAAAAAATTGAGTTTGTGAGGTCCATTAAGTAGTATCATACATGTTATGTCATTCGAGCGTGTGACTTATACGACCAAAAAACAGAACCGTTATGGTCAAGCAAAAAATTACGGAATCGTTATGGCCACTTGTTTTTGAGTTGACGGTTCGACCGTTTGGTTCAAACGGATGAACCGTTTTGACAAAAAAATTATAAGCAAAAAATTATGAAACCGTTCTGACCACCAGTTTTTGGGTCAACAGTATGGTCGTTCGGTTCGAACAGACAACCCATTTTGACAACAAAAATTACAGGCAAAAAATTGAGTGTGTAAGGTCCATTGAGTAGTATCATACATGTTATGTCATTCAAGCGTGTGACTCATACGACCCGAAAATGGAACCGTTTTGGCCATTGGTTTTTGGGTCGATGGTTCGACCATTCAATTCGAACAAATGGCCCGTTTTGACAACAAAAATAAAAAAAAAACGGCCAAAAACCATTGAACAGGTCAACGAGTTAACGGTTCAACCACTTGGGTCAATGGGTCATTAACTGATTCAACGGTTTTGGCCAGAGACCGGTATTTGGGTAAAACGGAATTGGTTGCCAATTAAAAGAATAAAAAAATGGACTTGACAACAAAAATTACAAGCAAAAAATTGAGTGTGTGAGGTCCATTAAGCAGTACCATACATTTTATTTTATTCGAGCGTGTGACTCATACGACCTGAAAATAGAACCATTTTGGCCACCGGTTTTCAGGTCGATAGTTTGACTATTTGGTTCAAATGGATGGCCTGTTCTGACAACAAAAATTAAAAAAAAAAATAAAAAAATGACCAAAAAGCATTGAACGGGTCAATGGTCCAACCACCTGGGTCAATGGGTTATTAACCGATTTAACGATTTTTGGCTAGGGACCAAGATTAGGATAAAACGGAACTAGTTGCCTAGATGGTTCATAATTAAAAATAAAAATAAAAAATGGCCAAAAACCATTAAACGGGTACATAGATCGATGGTTCAACCGCTCGGATCAATGAATCATTGACTAATTCAACGGTTTTTGGCTAAGGACCGGATCAACAAGTCAACGAATCGACAGTTCCATTCCAGCCCATGCGAAGTAGGGCACCTCCGCTAGTTTTACCATTAAAACAAAACTTGTTAAGGATAAATGAGGCATTTTAAAAACAACACTTCTTTGTTATTTAAAAAAAGGGAGGTAACTGTATATCTTTTTTAAAACAACGTTTCCGAGTTGTTTCCAACGGTAGAGAAGTTCAATGTCATTGCTCAATTATTATTTCCAGAGAGTCTGCTCAATCACTGGTCACTTGTTGCACGTTTGAAGGTTGATGGTCATGAATATTGTTTTTTTCGGGTAAATTTTTTGAACTATCCTTATGGTTTAGTTAATTGATTAAGATTTTTTTAACTATCCTTATGATTTAGTTAATTGATTAAGAGTATCTTATTGTTTGAAAGTTGACTATCCTTGTTATTTTTAACAATTGACTAATGCTTCCTAATCATTAACGTCTGTCAACATAGTTATGAAAAAGATTATTTTACCCTGTATGGTAGATTACTCGGATCTCTCCCTCTCCCTCTCGTTCTCTTCGTCGGAACTGCCAAAAACACCGGAACTTGAATCGGACAACAGTAAGACTCTTTACGGCCAGAACTGTAGATCTCTCAGAACCATCGGAACCGCCACTCTTCTCAGGCGCTCTTCTCCGTAATCGCCATCCTTCGGAACAGTAGAGGTCGGCGCCCCTCTCATTCTCTTTGAAACCATTGCAACCGCCACTCCTCTAGCTCTCTTCTAAAACACCACATCCCGTTCAGCCATCTCCTCAATCGGAGACCCCTTCAAGCGCTTCTTCTAAAGCACACCCATCCTACGAGTTCCGCATCAGGTTGGAGGAAGCTACATTTATTTATGTTTCTCTTTTATCACTTTCGTTGGATTGGTAGGCAACTAGAGTTTTTTTGCAGGAGAGTCTCGATTTTGATCGCAAAGAAGAGATCCTAAGACTCTTCAGGTTTTGATTTTGATCCTGGATGGGAGAGAAGCAAAATTGAAAGAGGGCTTTCGTACAGTTTTGACTTAATTTTTTGGGTGTTTTTTTTCCTGATTTTTCTGCTTCTTTTTCTGTTGATTCATTCTTTTATTGGCAATAGAGCAAAATATTCTTCTGACTACACAGTTATCTTTTGATGACTTTGGAGATGCAAAGGCTTGGCATCTTGGGTTCCGATTCCACACTGCTATCTTCTGATGGTTTTGGAGATGCAAAGGCTTGGCGTCTTGGGTTCCGATTCCACCCCACGGATGAGGAACTGATCCTCTATTATCTAAAGATGAAAATGTGTAGACGCCGAATCCAGCTCAATCATAGAAATCGACGTCTACAAGTGGGATCCTGAAGAATTACCAAGTATCATCATATTCTCTCTCCCCGTCTCTTTCTTATTTGTCTGTATTTTTCTTGCAAGTTTGGTCGAGTTCAGATTGTTCATTTTCACTGTATTGAGATTCAGATTGACCATAGATTCCCCTTTCTTGTCGATCTACCCTTATTGTTACTATTTTGGTTTTGGCATCCAAGATCTTTAATCATCACTCTTACCATTAGAATCTTGATTGGGAGAAATTGATTGATGGTTTTACCAATCAAAATGTTTTCTTTTTTTTTTTATTTAGTCAATTGCAGAGGTGGCTTTTTAGGGAAGGAGGAGGGAAGGGTATTTTCGATATTTTGATAAATATATTAGTCACGTGATATCACATGTAACGGAAATTTAACAAATACTAACGACAAGGGTAGAGTTAGTCAATTGTTAAAAACAATAAAAATAGTATTAATTAATTTTTAAATAGTAAAAGTACATTTAGTCAATTAACTAAATCATAAGGGTAGTTTAAAAAATTTACCCTTTTTTTAAGGTAAATTAAAAAGATCCCTATATTATATTATGGAGTTTGTAATAAAGACCCCTCTGTACTTTATTTTGCGATAAAGACCCTCCTATACTATAACGTAAGACAAAGACCCTTTCACCGTTAAATTATCAAAATACCCCAGAAAACTTTTTCTATTTTCTTTTTTTTGCCCTTTTTCTGTTAAAACCTATTTAACCTATTGTTATTCCTCTATTCTCTTCTTTTCACCTCCCTCACCGCCTCTCTCATTCTTTCTCTCTCCCAACTCTCCTAAATGAAAGAACGGAGGAAACCTATTTCTCGTCTTCCCTTTTTTCTCTTCTCCGTCTTCAATCTAGTTGTCACCAACGATGCCGCGATCATGGAAAAGCTCACTGCCTCAGGGTGCCCTTCAGACTGGTCAGGCAACGACCCCTGCATATAGACCGGCATTACCTGCGACAACGCCAACCGTCTCGAAGATGGGCTCTTGTTTTTCCTCTGAATCCAGCAATTCCCCTGTTTCCCCAACAATCAAAGTCATCTCCGCGGACGGCAAGCTCCACGACTACATATCCCCCGTTACGGTATCCGACTATCCCAGGCCTTCGAAATGGAGACGTCGCCGTGCTTCATCTGCAACTCCAACAAGCTTTTCTACGACTCCCTCATTCCACCCTTGCACCCTGCCCAGCAACTCCAGTCTGGACAGCTCTACTTCGTCCTCCCCCTCACCCGGATGTACTACCGCCTGACAGCCTCCGACATGGCAGCATTGGCCGTGAAAGCCAGTACTGCCCATTCTTACGACTTCCGACTCAGAGAGTAGAGATCTCTGCCAAGCAAACTGTTCAACATCGTACCAGAGACCTCTGGCTGTTGAAATGGGCTTATCGTGCCAAAGATCTGCCAAGCAAACTGTTCAACAGAGAGATCTCCACGACTACACATCCCCCGTTGCGGTATTTCACTATCCCAGGCCCTTGAAATGGAGACGTCGTCGTGCTTCATTTGCAACTCCGACAAGCTTTTCTATGGCTCTCTCATTCCACCCTATTTAACCTATTTAACCTATCTCAGATGTCATAGACCCCTGTTTTGTTTGTTGACGACAAAGATTCCGACAAGCTTCTCTTTATTTTGTGGTGATATGTGACCATTAAGTCAGATGACGGCATCCCCCTGTACTTTGCTTCTCTTTATTTTGTTTGTTGCAGGTTGAACTAAAGCCAATGGCTGTCGGTAATTCCTCCTCCAGAAGAAAATCTTTGTTGCAGGTCGAACTAAAGCCAAAGCACGTTAAGCCTTCCTCCGAGGTCTTCTATTGCTCTCTTTCTCTCTGTCTTCCATAGTTTTGTTTTCTTTTAGGGTTTTTCTGATTTAATTTTATGATTCTAGATTTGGGATTGTTTTTTTCTTTCGTTATGTGCGTTGTCTACAGGATGCCTGTCGTCTGTTGTCGGACGTGAAAGACTTGTAGTTGACGGAGCCGGAGACTTTCCTCCTGCAGCACTTGCGAAGCCGGAGCCGCCTCCCCTGCAACATTTACGGAGTTGGAGCCTGTGTCACGTCCTACAGTCATAATACAGGGGTAGTATGGAAAGGTCGGGAAAGATGAACAGTATTCTTTATAGTACGGGGATTAAAAAATATTGTAACGTCTTTTTGGATGGAAGGCTAATGGAAGCCTGTAGTTTGTCTCACGGTCATAGGGGTCTTTGTGGCAAAATAAAGTACAGGGGTCTTTGTCACAGACCCATAGTACAGGAGTCTTTATAATTTATTTGTTAAGGGTAAATGAAGCATTTTAAAAATAAATGCATTTCGGAGCCAAAAAACGACACTTCTGTTTAAAAAGGGAGGTAACCGTATATTTCTAAAACAACACTGAAGATTTTTGTTACGATTAAAACATGGCGAAGTCTGTTGTCAGAAAACATAGGGGAGGTTTTTGTATCTTATCCTTAAATTTTATAAATAGAGTTGCAGTCATTTTCATTTGGGTAAAATATAAAAATCTCCCATAAAGTTTTTGATAATCATAAAACCCTTTCATATAGCTTCACTTTAACAAAAACCTCTCTTATAACTTCATTTTAACAAAAACCTTTCTTGAACTTTTAAAGAACTCGACAAAAATCTTTTTTTTCGGTACTAGTTGATGGAGGAAGATTTGACCCGACCCCTTGGCTATACAACACGTAGAAGCAACCGAGAGTGACCTGGTAGAAACGCCAACTCGGCATGACAATGGGCCCCATAACTCGAGTTCCGAGAAAAAAAGTCAACTCCCCCAAAGGGGCACTTACAACCCGAACTCCGAGCTGAACAGTCCCGAGCTCTCCAAGGAGGAACCCGAGCTCTCCCTTCAAGGTCCTGAGCCTTACGAAAAGCACAAAAGGCAAAGACCCGAACTGCCCACCTAGAGGTAGTTCAGGCCACACTTCTATCCGAGTTCAGGACTTCACCTTGCACACCACTTTGGCCCCAAGTCGTCTGACTGAACCGTACCTGACGCCCAGGAGTCCGTACACGGAGGCGGCGCACCTGACTGATTAGGGGTCTGACACAAGA